AAAGTTTTTATATCCAAAGTTGATTGGACTTAGGGCATAACACTTACAATAGAATATCATTTTCGTTTCTCTCTTCCATCTTCTATACTTGTATGCTTTGGACTTTCTTTTGTATATAAAATTTGAAGTTTATATTGTGTAACAGAAACAAAATATGAAGTCTCTTGTATTTGTTTATCAAGTTCTTGGTGCTCCAGATGTTATCGTTAACTTCATAGACGCCAACAAAATTTCAAGATATTCCATTATAACTTTGGAGGATATATTTGGTTTCCCATGTGCGTTCATATTTGAAGAGGGATAAATTTTATCTTAAGGAAAACAACATAGTAACTTGTCTTGGAATCAAGAAGTTTGTGTTTTTCAAGTTATTGCAGAAGATGTACCACCCACAAATTCCAAGTGTTACAAACCTGATAATGGATATGGTTATAATTATGGCTATGGCTGTTTATGTTCAGAGGGTTATCAGGGAAATCCATCCCTCCCTAATGGTTGTCAAGGTATGATCTTCAAATGCATGTATAATACTTTTCATCTAATCATCTAGATGATTATGATTGTGTAATTAGAATAAAATAATTTCTTTCACGATTTTCTAACCAGACTGCAAGTGAGCTTTATGAAGATGAGCATCCCTTTTTATATGATTTCCAATTTGTTTTTGCTGAAATCATTAAATGCCAAGATCCAAGTCTCAATAAATGTTAAAAGAAATGTGTGAATGCCATGGGTATGAATGTGTTTGCCCGAAAGATTACCATAGACTCGGAAAGAAAGATGGACGAGGTTGCTTTCATGGTCAATCGCTTACTAATGGACCCACTGAAGTAGAATTGGAATCCCTGAATGGCGAGCGATTTGATGCGTATGAAAATGATAAGGGTAATAGCACAAGTACTAGATATGATATCACAAGTGATCATATAATTTTGGCAACCTACTGGTAATAACTAAAAACTATTGTGATATTAGTGCTTTGATGGTTTTTCAAAGCCTTATTCTGTAACATTATGTGTGTATATTTGCTTACATTGGACTTGCAAGATTAGTGTTATTGTTTTAAGTTGGTTACGATTTAATCTTCTTTTAGTTTCTCGATCTGTAACATAACCAGGTGAAATGAGGTTGCATTAAACTATCTAGACTAGCATGTTTTTATCATTTGATTAGTCTTATTTTCTTGAAAGTATCTTTGCTAGTTATAGTTTATGTAGTAGTTTAGAAATTATGAGTGGGAACACTATCTAAATCCCATTCACTTCCTAGAAACGATTTTCTCCACAGTTATACTTTTTGATCATGCACAGTTTGGGTTTAACACTTCCAGCAAGAAGTTGACAGCTTTAATTTGGCATGGATTTCCAAGAATTGGATTTTAAAAAAAATTAATTTTTACTTTAGACTTGATTTCGACAACTCTGTTCTCTCGTGAAAAAAATCCATATGATTATTCTTCTTTCATGAACAATGTCCATCAGCAGCTGCAAGTTTTTCTACCCTTATTGAACTACGTAGGAAATTTTCCTTCTCTCAAGTATTGAGCAGGGTGGAGAGGTGGAGGAGATGAGCTTTTTGGGGTTCTGTAGGGAATGGGGGTGGCGGGGAGTGGCAGTGGAAGGCATTTTAGCAATTTTTGGGGGCTTGCCATGTTGGATTTAATTTCTTATGTGGGCTACTTAGTTAATTACAATTATATTGGGCTATCTGAATTAATGGGCCGGACAAGTGATCTAACTATTGGNACAAGATAGCATTTGGTGCGCAATTAAGGTTATACGGTATAATTGTTTCTGATGACTCATGTAGCCCAAGTGGGAGATTGTTGGATTTAATGTCTTATGTGGGCTACATAGTTAATTACAAGTGGAAATTACACAAAACCATACTTTAAATATTCAACATTCTAAAATCAGATTGAAAGTTTGATATTTAAAAAATCAGATATTTTGTATTTATATATTAAATATTAATTGTATAATAATCATTCCAAATTTCAAACCCTAATTAACTTCTCGTCCTCTCCATCTCACTCTTTCTCTTCTCGATCTCTCTACCTTCCCCACCGGTGTCGCACCTACCCCTAATCCGACACCGGAACTCCCTCATCGCACTGGGTAAGATTGGATCAAGGCAGTAGTGGATGGGCTTCATGGAAAACACGTCCCGAGGGCTATGTTTGTAGATCTGGAGCCTATTGTGATCGATGAGGTTCGCACTGGAGCTTATCGCTAACTCTTCCACCCGAAACAACTCATAAACTAGAAGGAGGATGCTGCCAATAACTTTTCCAGAGGACATTACACCATTGGCAAGGAAATTGTTGATCCGTGTCTTGACAGGATCCGAAAGCTTGCTGATAATTGCACTGGGCTTCAAGGATTCTTGGTATTCCATGTTGTTGGTGTGGTACCGAATCTGGGCTTGGATCACTGTTGCTTGAAAGGCTTTCGGTTGAGTCGTTGACTATGGTAAAAAATCGAAGTTGGGTTTCACCATTTAGGTATTTCTAGTGGGGATGGTGTAGCAGTGCTTTTGGGATTTTAATGGGCTGTGATGGTGCTTGAAGCCGTCTCTCTCTCTTTTGCTGTATTTTGCATTCTCTCCATTGTTGCAATCTGGTGGCGAGTTGGGGTTTTTTTGTTGTGTGGTGGTTGTGGTGTGGAGATCTGTGTTGTTCGCGGTGATGGGGTGGGCGTTGGATCTGGTGGAGACGACGGGGTGGAGGTGGTGTCAATGGTGCCGATGTATGTGACCCATTGTTTGTGGTGGGGCGGTGGATATGGTGGCAGCCGTCGGGAAGATGGGGTCTGGTTTTGGAAAAATGTCACAGATCTGAGGATGTGTGGTTGTGGAGGTGGTGGAGCTGTGATGGTATATTCTGGGCGGTGGCGAATGTGTGGTGGTGATGGTGATCTGTGTGGTGGTGGTCATTTTTTGTTATTGTTGTGGCGGGGTCAACGGCGGTGGAGGTTCTTTTTGGTGTCTGTGACCTAGTTATTGAATTGTGACTTTAAAATTAATAATTTGTAACTAAAAAAAGAATCTGTGACCAACAAATTTGAAAATACATAACCCGTGACATATAATTTTTTTGATCTGTGACCAATAAAATAATATGTGACCTACAAAATTTTAGATTTGTGACCTCGAAATAATCCGTGACCTACAAAATTTTTGATCTGTGACCGATAAAAAAATTGTGACCTATAAATTTTTTGAATTGTGACCATAAAATAAGTCGTGACTTAAAAAATTTGTGATTTGTGACAAAAGAAAATATGTGACCTATTAATTTGTGATCGATGAACAAATTGTGACCTACAAATTTTTTGAAATGTGATCGTAAAATAATT